TTCTAGGTTAATATACATTGACTGAGGCTAAATGCCTGATGCTTCTGGACAGAGTCCAGCCCCTCCGCAGAGCAGCCACACTGTGGAGATACAGCTGCTGGCATTAAAGGGCTAAGCCTTTTCCAGCTGCTTTGCTTTAATGGGAACTGCCTGCAGTCGGCAGCTTAAAGGAGCTGTCTTAGCCCGATTAGGAGGAAATGACTAATCTCCGCATCTTCTCATGGCACTGGCCTGGAGACTCTGGGGCAGATAACCTGGTAGGGTGGGAAGTGGTTGGATGAACCGTATTGGAGTGCTAGGTGATTATCTCTTCGAGAATGGTGGCCCGGGCTTGGCATGGCTTGTGCTTTGTCTTGTCTCCATGAGGCAAGTGGGGTTCTCTCTAGTGGGCTGCCTGGCACTGAGGGAGGGAGATGTTCACAGAGAGGGGAGGCTGGGTCTTTAAAAGCTGGGCTGACAACAGATGTGCAGGTGAGTTGAGAGCATATGAGGGCAACGGCATCTGTCCCCCTAGAGGCAGGGGAAGACTTGAGACCCTCCAGTGTGGCCCCCTTTGGCCTTCCATTCCCCCTGCCCTTTAAAATCTGACTTAAAGAGCCAAGATTTGAGTGAGAAATGATCATTTCCTTCATCATAAGATGTACTTAAAATATGTATTTTAATATCTGAGAATTGGCATCTTACAAATACAATGCAGTGATTTGTTTTTTTCCTAGTGGCTCAAAGTGGTGGTGCATCTTCTTATCAGTGTCACTCGGGTTGGAAGTGTCAGCCGTTTGTGGGAGATCGGCTGTTGGCTAGGTCAGATATGGAGGCCAGAGACCTGCGTCTTAGCTGTGGGGACATCAGCTCGGGGAGTTCCCTCGGGTTGGAGGGAAGCTGAAGTGTAGGGAAAGGGAGGCTCAGCTCCAGGGCACGGAGCATGTCCTGTAGGACAGGATCAACATCTGTCCCTGTCACGACCCCCACGCCGCTATGTGTGACCCTGAGTCAGACAAGGGGGAAAGCCATTGGTCTTCAGTGAGGCCAGGGCCAAAATATAATACATCCCGGTGGAGTTCTGAAGTCCCAGTATAGGACCGAAGCACTCAAGGTGCTTTAACTTGAAAGGGTAGAAGCTTTGGACGCTCTGGGCAGGGGCTTGAGAGTGCTTATCGCAGTCTTTTGTCCAATTTGCTCACCAAATCCACATCAGAGGAGGGCTCTTCCTCCCTGGAACCTGGTTGGCCATGGTTTAGGGTCCTACAAGGAAAGGACAGAAGTTAAGGAAACTATTGCCCTGAGGTGAGAAGTAGACCAAAAATAAAATTTTGTTTAAGAAGGTCTTCCTGTTCGGTAGAGAACGGTGTTTGAATGACTCTGGATGTAGGTGCTGAGGGCTGCAGGAGCTCAGAGAAGGGACGTAGCTGGAGGCTTAAGAGCCTGGAAAGTGAGCCGTTAAAGCTGGACCTCAGGGTGAGCAGGGCAGCTAGAGACAGCCAGAACCCTGGCGTGCCCTAACCAGACAGACACCCGCGCCTCTGGCAGGACCCAGCCTCTCCTTTGACTGGCTGGCGGGGCCCTGTTTTATCTGTCCATGGGGGTGGGGTGGGTTTGTTGGTCCCCGCCTCTGCCTCTGGCAACAACTGCCCCTTTATCTGACTTAGAGCTCTGAAACAGTTTTTCATTTGCTCCTTTTCTGCCCATTAACTGCTGCCTATTAATTAGTACCGTTGGGCTCCCCACCCTCATAATCAGCCTTCACAAACTATGCCTCCCCTCCGCAGCTTTTGCTAAATATGTGACTATGCTTAGTGTAGCTGGTGCTTCCTGAGCCTCAATCACAGATCTGGGCTGTGTGGACCCCCTGCCCCAGCTGCCCGAGTGGCCACAGCTTGCCACCCCCGCCCCCCGCCCCCATGCCTCATCTTGATTAGCCTCCCCGCTCCCTGTCTTCCCCCTGGTGCTGCCGGGCCTGGCACTGGCTGAAGGTTAACATCTCTCGCCATAAAGGAGTGCTCTTCTCACGCTGCTCCAGATCTTGGAGAGCAATGCTGGGGGCCCAGAGGGACTGAGGTGATCCCCTCTGCTGACCCAGCTGATTCTTCCATCGAAACCCCAGTCGCCTTGTTGCAGATCGCTTGACCACTTTGTAGCTCAGAGATCACAGACTCTGATCTATGCTGCCTCTTAAACCCTCAGCTATGATGATGACCACTCCTTTTTGTTTACTTAGCTGTCGGGTGAAATTCCAGATGCTCCAAGCCGTAATTCTTTTCACCCTTTTCTACTTCCCGCTGCCCCCCCCCCCCGCCAGCCTCCTTACCCTCATTCCCTGAATCCCCCCCCACCAGCTCCCAGCCACCATCACGCTGGTGCCCCACTTCCCTGTTCTGAGGTCCTCGTTTCTCACTTTTGGGCTTGATTCTTTTTTTTTTATTACATTTTGACTTTTTTTTAAAGAAATTTCTTTTTTTAAAGATTTTATTTATTTTTAGAGAGGGAAGGGAGGGAGAAAGAGAGAGAAACATCAATGTGCGGTTGCTGGGGGTCATGGCCTGCAACCTAGGCATGTACCCTGACTGGGAATCGAACCTGTGACATTTCGGGCTTGATTCTTGACTCCTTTCCTCTGGATCCTCCTCTCCCAGGACACTCATACTCGCACTCTCCTTTGCTCCAGCTAAGCCTGGGGTATGGGGAGGAAGTGATCCCTTTTTACTAATAGCTGGGCTGCATTAGAAACCACAGGGGAGATGGCCAGACTCATTGGCAGAGGGAATGGCTGTCCACTGTGATGGTGGTAGAACCTGCTACCTCTGACTGCGACCTGGCTCCGTGCCAGGTGTGGAGTGGGACCCATGCACTCCACATAGTTTTTCCAGCCCTCTTAGGGATAGACCCATTTCCAGATGAGGAAAGTGAGGCTCAGGATCCTTCAATAACTTGTTCGAGTGCACACAGCTGTAAGTGCCTGAGCCTGCATTTAAGCCCCTTCACCCCCTTTCCCACCTTTATGTAATCTTCTTTTAACCTTGGTCTACAGAATCCTTTAGGCCAAAATGATTTTCTTTGGAGAATAAGTCTCTGGATTATCCTCAGTCTGAGGAGCACAAATGTGTCCCAGAACCTGGCCTTCAGTGGGCTCTCCCCCTTCCACCGCGTGGTCCCAAATTAGACCTGTCCTCTTTACACCCCGAGGTAGCAGTGGGGGTGGGAAGAGGAGAGGGGCTTCCCGCCAACCAATGGGGAAGCGCCAGCCTGGGCTCTGCGCTGGCATCATCTGCTCCTGCTAAGACAATCATCAACATAAAAGGCTAATTGTATTAATCACCAAGGCACCCGTCAGGAGTCCCCCTCCCTTTGGGGAGAATTATGAATTGCAATTGCAGATGGCTCTGCTGATTGAAGGCAGCGCTCAGCAGGGAGAAGGGCCAGATCAGATTACACACCATTAATTAAAAACTTCCCCTGACAAATGGGAGGAAGGGAGGCATACCAAGGGCCTGCCCCGTTGGGTCTCTGCCCCACCCTGCGCTCCTCACCTCCACCCAAGCCCAGGGGCCGTGGCTGTGAAGCCCGCTGTCCCCCACTAGAACTGCCCAGCCCGGGCTCCCTGAAGGCCGGCCTTTCCCTCACCCAAACAGATGGCCGGCTGTCCTTCAAAAGGGCTGCGGAGAAGGAGAAGCTCACCTTTGGTTACGTGTTCTTGTCTAACTTTGGATGCTCTTCAGATTCTAACCTAATTCCTCGCTCCTCACAAAGCTTGTCTCCTGGCTCCGGTCTATTCCCACGGCACAGCTTCCAAGAACAACTAGTTGTGAACATAGCCCCCCGCCGCTTTCCCTTGCCCTTCAGGCCACCACTCCAACCGGTTTGGCCCGAAGCTCCTTGGACAGAGGTTACCCAGTTGGCTCCAGAGTACAGGTGGGGACTGAAGAGTGTCTGACTGTGGGCCCTCTTCCCAGCTGCCCCTGCTGGCAAGCACCGGCTCCTTAGCTGCTGTCATCTTGGCTCATTTGGCCCTGTAACTCCCGAATTCTCCTCTTGATCAATTACTACTTCCCCTCCCTCCCAGCCACCCAGCCTCAGTCACTCATTCATCAGACTTTTATCGAGCACCCAGTGTGTGTGTTCGGCTCCGGGCCTGCAGAGATCATTTGTCTAGGAGCTTAAAGGCCTACTGCAGGAGCTCCGCCCCTTGCCCTCTTCAACCTTCTAGTTCCTGCGGCCTTCCATCCCCGGCCATAGCTTGTATAAGTCCCCCTGGAGTGCTGTTTTGGAAAATTCGAAGCTGGGAGCTGGGGAGACCTTAGGGGGCTGTGGTACTGAGCTGGGTGACCTTTAGCAAGGCAGTCACATCCTACACACACGCACACACACACTCAGCTGTCCCTGCTCATGAGAGGGCACAAGAAGCCCTGGGCTCTGAGAGATTGTGAAGATGGATGAGGGCGGCCCGGCTTGGAGAGATGTGAGTAGTACTCTATGCTGACAGTACCACGGAACACTGAGCATGGCTGCTGTGGCCACGAGTACTGGGGCCCACTTACTGCCCTGGTCACAGGCTGGGCCCTGCCACCCAGCCCTTGGAAGACTTTGGCAGCCCCTCCCCCACCCCCAGCCCCTTTAGAGACATCATGGAAGAGGACTTGTCTATTTTATGAATTTGGTAGCTGCATCTCAGAGTACCATGGTGATGGGCACCATAGAGATGAGAGAACTGACTTTTATTGGCCTTGCCTCTTCATTCTAGGGTCCCTCCCCCAACCCCCCTCCCCCACAAAGCTCCGCATACACTCATCCCACACACACACACACACACAGCTCCCAGGTCAGTACACCAGCAGAGAAGGAGGCAGGGCCCCCGTAATAGGAGCAGATGAAAGGAGAAAAACCTCCTCTCTGCCTCCCTCTCAATCATTTCCCTCTCTCCCTTCTTCCTTCCCGTTACCAACAGCAATTGTATTCAAACCCAATAATTACAGTAATAGCAACAATAATCATCATTTATTGGCTTTATTTTTCTAACATTTTAACTTCCAAAAGCATTTCCAATTTCTCGTTTGTTTTCACAGCAGTCTCTGGGGGAGGCTTGTGCCCATTTAACAGCTGGGGGAGCTGGGATCCAGATAGGCCCCCAGGTCATAGGTGGAGTGGTACTGCAGCCTGTAAATACTGACAAATCACCCGAGACTCCGATAGTGCTCAGAAGCACTGAACTGAAAGTCTTGGTTTCCTGGGTCGTTCCTACAGCTTTTTGGGGGGAGTTCCTGCAGATCTGAGAATGAGGCTAGGGACAGCTTCTTTGGCTCAGGTCATGGACCAAAAGCTGGGCAGGGGCTGTCCCCTGTCAGAATCGTCCCTGTGAAGGGGACTGCGGGATGGCAGACAGGCAGATACCCAGAAGAGCTTGCCCTGGAAAAGGCCCATCTGGCTCAAACCTTCCTTGCCAAGAGCCTGCCCCGCTGCTAACCCGAGAAAAGCTTCTCCTCTGTGTCAGCTCTTCCTGAGGATTTTGGGGGAGGGAGTGAGGAATGACAATCTATTGGAGGTTAATCTCTGTCTGTCCTCAGGAAGACCCCCGTCTGGTCTGAGGGGGAAGCCCATAGCCCCCAAAGCCACACCCAACAGTAGGGACATACATCTGAGGAACTCTGAGTCTTGGGAAGTCTGGCCCCTCCTCCCCAAGGGTGGGGGTGAGAAGTTAGGGTTCCCCGAGATCACTTTAGTCCAAAGCCTCTAAGCAGACTGGCTGTCTCAGCTCTAATTCCTTCTTTCCCAGGACATGGGGTTCTGGAGTCCAGATGGATGAGAGAAGGGGCGGGCAATCATGAATTCCCCTCCCTCCCTCTGCTGTCCCGTTCCTGGATGGAGGAGGAGGAAACTGAACAGATCTGCTCCCCACATTCTACCTAGAAATGTGATGCCTGGGGGAGGGATTGGCATCCCCTGCCCACCCCGTCAGGACAAGAGGCCGAGCCTCCCTACACACCTTTAACCACCTCCCCATCCCCTCAGAACACCTGAAATTCGGTCATGCCAGCATGCTGCTCACACACGGAGCTCCTCTCAGAAGCCTGAGGGCTGGGGCCAAGTTCTATGTTTTCTGACACACACTCTCCATTTGGGTGTCCGCCGAACTGGGATTCCCTTTGCTGGGGCTCCGGCTCCACCTCCACCACGTTCTCCACCTCTGCGGTGCCCATGAGGATGGCCAGTCGCTGGGCCAGAGTCTTGGTGTCAGGGAACAGGACGAAGTTGTAGATCAGCGAGGCCAGGACAGCCCCTGTCAGGGGCCCCACCCAGAAGATCTGAGGAGGCAGAAAAGTGGGGACCCAGCTTGTGAGCTTTGGGACCCCTGCCTGCTTGCCCAGGGTTGCCTCGGTCTCCCCGCAGCCCTTGAGCTGTCTGGAAGGTGGCAAGTTTGAGAAGCACAAGGGCTGCCCCTCCCCCAGAGTCCCTGCAGGTGAGGGGATCTTGCCCCCCACCCATGCTGTCTCCTCACCACTCCTCCCTCCCCCTCTCCTCTTGCCTCCCCTGTTCCAGTCAGGAGCCCTGGCTAGTGCTGTTCCTGGCTTTGTGGGTGTGTGTGTTTATTTGTTGTCTTTTTCTTTACCCACGTTTGGAAACTGGCCCAGCTAGAGAAAGTGAATAAGGGAACAGCCAGGACTTGAGGCCTGGAGCTGCGGCTCCTGCCCTGGCCTGTTTCTTGCCACTGATACCTGGGCTATTGGAGCTGCAAAGAGAGGAAGCAGGAGCCAGGACGCCTGCCCTGGTCTTCTGAGTTCGCGGAAACCCCTAATGGGGGTCAAGACAGCCTGCGGCAGGGAGACCTGTCTGCCTGCTGCTGGTGAGAGCCACAGTCCCTGCGGCCCTGCTCGGGCCCCGCCCCTCCCTCCCGTGGCTGCAAGCAGATCGTCTCACCCAGTGGACTTCGAACTTCCCAACGATGACAGCAGGACCGAAGGAGCGGGCTGGGTTCATGGAACAGCCAGTGAAGTAGATCTGGGAAGTGGAGGGATCGTGGGTTCAGGGTGTGAAGAGGCTTAAGGCAGGCCTGGGTGGGGATAGCCCCCTCCATCTCGGCTCAGAGCCGAAGTTCCAGCCTTGGCCTCTGCCGCACGGTATCCTGGGCCTGGAGTGTGGGGCATAGCCTCAGCCCCAAGGCATGAGGGCCTCAGGGAGGGGCATTTCCTGGCCTTCGGGGCCCCTGCAGCCCCTCCAGGGAGGGGCTGTGTGTGCACAGGCATGGCGTCCTTTTGCCCCTTACCCCAATGAGGTGGCCCAATGCCACAGAGACCCCGATCATAGTGGCCGGGGAGCCGGATGTCAGACGGCTGTCGGTGGACGCCAAGACACAGAGCACCATCTGCAGGGTCAGAACCAGCTCCACTGCTACCGCCTGGCCCGTTGAGACGCTGCTCCGGATCTGAGTGAGAGGGCTACACTGGGGTCCCCCACTTTCTGCCAGAGGGCGGTGACTGGGCCCCCACCCCCGGCCTCATTTCCTCACTGTAAGGGGAGACACCTCACCGCCGCCGGTCCCAGTCCCGCGACTTGAGGAGGGCTGTGCGGTGGGTTCCAGTCAGCCCCCTTTCTCCCCAAAGGTTGGTTGGAGCCAGTGATTTGGGGGGTGGCAAGGGCTCAGGACTGGTGGGAAAAGGGAGGCACAGAGAAGTGGAAATGCATGTTTGCAAGCTACCTGCGGGGAGATCCGGGTGGGAGTGGAAGGAAGAGATGTGGGGAAGTGGGTGGAACACAGCTGATGAGGGGAATCTGGCGGGGAGCTGGTGAAACAGGCTTTAGAGTTCCAGGGAGGTGGAGGACGTGGGGGGCCTTGAGGAGGAAGATGAAGAGCATGCAGGGTCCCTGCCACCACCCCCAGCCCCACCCTCCCTGGCCACCCGACATTTAAAAGCCTGGTCCTCCTCCAGCCCCTGCCCCTTAGTGTGGCTGGTCCCATCCGTCCTGTGGACCACAGCCATGCCCGCTCGCCTGCACTAAAGCCGCACACAGTCTGGTTGCCCTGGTCCCGGGGCCACACGGGGCAGGTGTGAAGCACGTGCCTGAGAGGTCCCCCTCTGCTCCTCTCCCCCAGCATAGTGGCCCGCCACAGTTAAACCTGTTTAGAAGACACTCCCTCCTGGCCCTGCCAGGCGCCTCTCCCTGCACCTACCTCATTGACCCCCAGGGTCTCTCGGATGTCCCCTGGTGTGACCCTGTAAAGCAGAGCAGCCCCCACAATGGCCCCTGCCAGCTGGGCAGCCACATAGGCCACAGCACGGGGCAGAGAGATTTGGGAGCCCACAAGGTAAGCCAGTGTCACCGCAGGGTTGACGTGGGCCCCGCTGGACTTCCAGGTGACCTGCACAACCATGGCGGTGACCAGGTTGAAGGTGATGGCGATCTGCAGCACAGAGGGAAACGCTGGGGACCAGCGCATGGCGGAGCCCACACCGAAGAACACGTACAGCCCGGTGGCCAGGAACTCAGCAAACAGCGCCTTGCTGATGGCCACCCAGAGCAGGTGCCCCAGCATCCTGGCCAAGCCGTGCCCTTCCGACTCCACTGCGTCCGGGTCCTGGTGTCTTGGCTGCTTCCTCCTCTGCTCCCAGGGCCTCTGCCTGTCCCCAACTTCTGGGCTCTGGTGTCCGGCCTGCTCTGGCTGTCGCACTGTGGACGGGCTCTGCTGGCTCCCACCTGCAGCCCCTCCACTGCACTGCTGCCCAGGACTGTGCTGGGCAGACTGGCGGGGATCGGGCTGGTGGAGTTTTGTGTGTCTGGGCGAGTGGAAAATTTGGAGGTGGCATGAGGGGAGGTGCTTGCCTGCTCCACCTTGAGCTCACCTGACAGCTGGGGGAGAGGGCCGTCTCGGGGTGCTGAACTGGAACACCCCCGGGAGGTTTCCGAGCTGGACAGGCTTAACTGTGCTGTGGGCCCAGCCCAAGGGCCGCAGGTGCAGGAAGAGCCGGGGGCATGAGGTTTGGGGTTCCCACGTCTTCAATGTCAGCTTAGATGGCGCAAGATCACTCAGGTACCCAAGTCCAAGGCCTGCTTCAAAGGGTCCTGTGCATTCTGGTGACACAAGGGGGGAAGATAGCTGGGTGTCCTGAACTCCTGGCCCCTCTGCCTGTAGGCTTGGCCTCCAGATGGCCTCACACTGCCTGTGCCCCGTAAACCCAGATGTGCAATGAAGCTCCCTCCTCCATTCCCACCTGAAACGCACTCACAGAAGGCAGATGTGAACAGTTACTAAGTAGGTGGGCCTGTGGGGGTGCAGAGCGGGCAGATGGAAGGAGGGTGTATTCCACGGCTAACCAGGAAACGCAGCAGTGGGGCCTCTGCCGTGCACCCGCTTCCGTCTCTGCTCCCCTCACCCTCTCCTTGGCCTCAGCCCCTCTCCCCTGCACTCTCTGCTCTCCTCCTCAGGGGCCAGAACAATTCCTCATGCCTCTCACACAGGGCTGCTGAGCCATTTTTGTAGTATTGCTGCCCTAGGCTCAGCCCTTTCCCCCCAGCAGCATATCAAGGTATTTACACAAGCAAAGGTATTCTCCCCCTAAGAAGAATCTGCTGAGCTGTTAAAATAACACAGTCTTCACCTATTAACCACATCTGGGTGCCGGGACCTCACCCCTGGCCCTATCTGCCTGCCTAGTGGAGGTCCCCTGGTTGTCCTCAGGCCTCTCAAGTGCAACCTTGTCTCCAAATGAGATCTTCCTCCCCACCCCACCCCCCCAAAACACTCCTGTTTCTGCCTGCTCAGTTGGAGGCACCTGGGAAGCATCTTTGACCCTTCTCCCTGCTCCTGCCCCCTCCACTGAAGGCATCAAGTCCTGCTGATTTTCAGTCATAAATATTTCTTGACTGCACTCTCTTCCTGCCACCCCTGCTGCCCTGCAGCCTTTAACCATTCTCTCTCTCTGCTCCCTTGCTCTGTTCCAATCAATTATCCACACTGCAGCCCCAGTGATCTTTCTAAAATGCAAATCTGATCCTGCTGCTTCTCTGCTAAAATCCCTTCAAAGCCTCTGTCCCCTCTGTGAGCTCCGTGCGGCCTCCAAGGCCCTCTGGGGTCCTACTCCTCCCACCTCACCTCTCCCCACTCCTTCCTTGCCTTGCTCTTTTACCCTGTGGCCTCACCAAACGGCCGTGGTTCTGGAACACTCCAAGCTGGTCTCTCCTTGGAGGACGCTCTCTTCTTCCCCTTGGAGAGAGCCCTTCCCACTTCCTTTGCTTGGGTAACTCCCTAACCCACCCCTAAGTCTCAGCTTCCATATCCTCTCCTCCTTTCCTGGGTGAGGCCCTCCGTTTGCCCCCCTGGCCCGCACACCTGGGCATTTTCGACCCCTGCAGTCATCACAGGGCATCGGCATGGTGCCAGTGTGTCTCCCTCACCAGGGAGACACGGCGAGCCCCTGAGAGGGCAGGAGACACGTTTTGCTCATCCCTACACGTAGTGTCTTGCACAGAGATTAGTCATAGTAGGTGCTCGATAAGTAATTGTCGAATGAACGAGTGAATAACAGTTTCTTGAGCTCCTGGAGGCAGATGACTTTCATATCTGCTTCCGTTCACCTGGCTATTCTTAAGGCCTTATACCCCCTCACCCGGGACTGGGCCCTCTGGAATCTTCCACTGAAATGTCCCAGCTCTGAGCATGGGCTCTGCCTCCCACCCAGCCTCCCCCATCTCAGCCGGAGTAAAATCCCTCCCGCATTCCCTTTCTGCTCTCCCGGACATCCTGGCTTCACCCTGCCTTCTCCAGCCAGACGCCCTGGCATCACACCTCCGTGCCCCGCCGTCCTGGCTCCTTTTTCTCTCTAACAACCCGCCACACCTGCCTCTCTCCATTCTCATTCTCCTCACGCCCCTCTGCCTGCCATCTGCGCTGCTGGAGGCACTTGCCAGCTACGACAAGTCCATGGTCCGTGGCCTCAGCAGGGGTCGCAGCTCTTCAGCAATCCTCGCTCCCTCTCCAGGCGGCTGTCCCCCCGTTCTTCCGGCGCCTACTTCCAACCTTCCCCACTCTCTTCAAGTACCCCACTCTCTCTGGCTTTCTTCCAGCTTGCCTCCGGTCCCACCCAGAAAGCCAAGCTAGCAGGCGATACTTCTTCCCACCCTTCCTCCCCAGCCACAAACTCACTGGAGCCGCCCATGCCCTTCCCAGCTTCCCTGCACCCCCAAAGCAGAGGCAGCCCTTCTCCTGTGTACAGTCAGGGCCCCTCCCGGTGCTCTTGGCCATGCCCGGTCTCGACTGTGGTCTGCCCTTCTCCCTCTCCTGGCTTCTTTATAACATGCCTGGTAATCTCAGAATAGTGGAGAGACCATGGGTTTGGAGTGCCTTTCGTCTTTGTCTCTCTTTTAAGACTTTGTTCAAGTCCAATTCCTCCATGAAGCCTGCCCTGATTTTCCTTTCCAGCAGAACCAGGGCAAGCTGCATGGAGAAGTTGGGCTTGAGCAAAGCCAGTGGCTACTTCTGGCTTCAGCTTCCTCCCGCCTGCACTGTTCCGGTGCAGACTCCTGTGCTTTCCTGGCTTAGAGGATTCTTTCAATAAACACTCAAGGAATGAAGGCATAGCCAGTGTGGGTGACATTCCCCCCTGCCCCGGTGGGTTCTCTGCCTAGGGGCTGTTCCAAGGAACCACAAGGGCATCTCTCTTCTCCCCTCCCCTTGGACAGAGCTGCAGAGGAACGGAGACAGGCACTTACCAGTCCTGGCAGCTTACCTAGTCTCCGTTTCTTTGTCTGTACACCAGGCACCAAACAATAGGAAAGCCTATCTTATCTGTTGAGACCTTTGATAAGACAATACAAGTGGAAGCATTGGAACATTGCCGTGTACACTGTACCAGCACTTAACTTCTGTGACTTCAGTTCCCTCCTTATAAAATGGAGATTAAAATTCCCACCTCTCCATGTATCGTTAGGAGTAAAGGTGCTAATACCTAGGAGAGTGTCTCTGAGTCAGAAAATGTTGGTCATTAGAATTGCCACTCGAGTCCCCTCTCCAATGAGACAGCTATGAGGACCCGGCTGGGGTGGGAAGGGTCCAGGACAAGTGGCACCTGTGGCCCCTACTCTGGACACTGGAGGCCCAGAGCATCAGGTATGGTGGCCCTTGTTTCCAGCCGGCCTGGAGCAGGGACTCCTGGGGCCCTGCCTGGCCAAAGGCGAGGTTCTCCCCCCCCCCAACCCGGAAGCCAGCCAGGCACTAGCCAGGGCTTGCTCCAGCTCCAGCCAGCACCTTGCCAGGCCCAGTCAGTTTTGGGCTCGTGCATCATGCTTTGAGGTCACTCATGTTCACAAGACTTTTGTAAAAGCCCTACACCTGGCTGCCTACAGCAGTCTGTCAGGCGGCTGTGGGCTCTTAACCTCCCAGAGACCTGTCTCTGGGCTCCCCAGGCTGCTGAGGTGGGCGCCTCCGTGGGAAGGTGTGTATGTTTGTACGCATGCGCATGTACTCGCCCGCATGCACAAGGAGCAAAGTGAACTCTAACTGGGGCCTGGGGGCTTGGGGGCGCGGAGCAAGAACGAGAAAGTAAGAGGGACATTAAAAACATGACCGGAAGGGAAGAATTCAAGGTAGCTTCCCTCGAATTATCTCATCGATTTCCACAAACTGTGACAGATAAGCAGTGTGACCTCATCCAAATCCGAAAGGGAATGAACTGAGTCAGGGAGGGGCTGAGCTAGCTGACCCTCCAGCAACCCCTCCTGGCCATCCATCTAGACAGCCTGCCTTCTGTCCATTCTCTGTCTTACTCCCAGCCCTCCCCCATCTCTCTACTCTGTCACCATGTCCACCTTCCTACGGGGTGAAAACTGGCAGCCCCTGGGCAGAGGGGCAGTGAGTGGGAGGAGGATGAAGCCTCCTAGAGGAGAATCAAGGCTCTCCTTCCTGGGTCCCATCTCAAGGTGGAGCAGAGGGCCAGAGCGGTGCCTGGGCACGTGTGCTTGAATGTGACACACACGTACCTCTCCGGGAACACAGGGAACACAGGTCCAGAGCAGTCCTGTGAGAGAGAATGGGGGAGGGTTGACGTGGCTGCCACACGCGCGGATTGAGCCGCCCATGCCGAGAAGACGCAGCCCCTCGCTGCAACGGAAAGGTCAGTGTGGCTGCGCGGGGCTAGCGTGCGTGCTCCTGTGTGCGCGGGTCTTGGTGAGCCCGGACCCAGCCGCGCCCAGAGGGTCAGCCACCATGGAGCACAGCGCCCTCTAATGGCCACACCGCCGCAACGTGTCCGTCCAAAGCTCTAGTTGGACCCTAGCCCTCTCGGCGGGCCAGGAACTCCCTCGAACTGGGTGCCCACCCACCCCTAATGGTCTGTCCTCCACAGGCCCACCTGTCAGAGAAAGGAATGCAAGTTGCTGGGCTGAGGGGAGAGGCCAGCCTCTTAGTCATGGCTGTGCCTGCACCTGAGTCTTGTGGAGACTTAGTGGGAAAGGGATCTCTCTTCGGCACCCTGTCTTGGATAGTGGGGTGGGAGTGAACTGCGAGTAGTTGCTTTCTGCTGGCCCAGAGGACCCAGGCCTGAGAGATTCCCCGTGTCCTCTACACCATGCCCCATCGGGCTGGAGCCCAGACCCAGGATTCTCGCAGAGAACGCAGCTGTTTGCATTCGGTGGACGAGGTCTCCCCCTGCTGGTCAGAGCTGGCACTTGCGGCCCGGATGCGGTGGGGGCCGGAGCTGGCGGGTGGGGGACGGCTCCTTCACCCAGGCTCTCACGCATATACTGCCTTTTGGTGTCAACTGCACGCTGATGGAGGCAGGCGGGGCAGTGCAGGGCAGGGAGATGGCAGCACCCCTTCACAGATACTGGACTCAAGTGCGGAGGAGGGCTGCGGACTCTGCCGCCCTCACCGCCCGCCCCTGGGACTGATCCTTGCCAGCAGATGGTATACACTCTCCCACCTCTTCTCCATCTCCGGACCGCCTCTCCGGCGCCCGCGCCCCCCCCCCCCGCGCCTTCCCCGGCCTCTCCTTTTCTGGGGCAAAACTTAAGACTTCGGGGAGGTTCCCACACAAGAGAAAAGCTGGAGCTCAGGTTCAAGAGCTCTCAGGAGCGCAGAGGACCCGAACTAGGGTGTGGCCGAAGACCCAGATGTGCACAGGCTGTTTCTTCTTCTTCTTCTTCTTTTTTTTTTTAGTCTTTTAAAGATTTTATTTATTTATTTTCACAAAGAGGGGAAGGGAGATAGAAAAAGAAGGAAACATTGGTCAGTTGACTCTCGCACGCCCCCTCCTGGGGGGCCTGCCCCACAACCCAGGCATGTGCCCTGACTGGGAATCCAACACACGACCTTTCAGACCGAGGGCGCTCCATCTCCTGAGCCACACCAGCCAGGGAGCTGGTTTCTTTTCACACGTGTTTATTGAGCACTCACTCTGAAGTGCCCAGCCCTGTTTGCACAAGGGTTTTATTTCAACCCATTGTCTCATTTCATCCTTACAACCGCCCACGAGTACAAGTAGCCCCATTTTGCAGATGAGGTAATTAGAACTCAGGGAGCTTATGTTACCCGAAGTTGTACATCAAGACTTGGACCCCAAGCCAGACCCCTTAACTATGACGCAGGGCCGTGTGCTGAGCTTATCATCTGCATTCCACCCTCTTCCTCACAGAGAGCAGGAATCTCTCTCCCTCAGCTCATCTGATCTGCACAACACCCCTGTGAGGGAAGCAGTTTTCATCCTCACTTGATAGTTTATGAGATGGAGGTTTGGCGAGTTAAGGAGGTTTCCTAAGGAGTGTCAGTGGCCAGGGGACAAGAGCCAGTGAGGGCAGAGTCTCGGGCCCAGAGGGGAAGACAGTGGGGACGCTGGCCTGCAAGGCAGAGAAGAAACCAAAGTCCTGGGCCACATGCAGCTTCTGGGGGTGGGGGTGGGGTGGGGACAGGGGGCTGCTGCTGTTGCTGAGCACAGCTCCCAACATGGCCCCTTCGTGGAACACTGAGGTGTACAGAGGGGAGTCCAGGCTGTGCCTTCCCCCCGATGACAGACCTGGCTGGTCAACCCCTTGGCATCTCAAGGGGCTGCAGGCAGCTCGCCTCTCCACCCTGTCTGGCACACCCTCCTCAAGTGACAGAGACTCGACATAGCTGAGGTGGGAGGGGTGTGCGGGCGGGAGACTGAGTGAATAGGATGCCTCTTTCTCTGCTCCCACTGCCTCCTGCTGACCTCTGAGCTCTCTTTCTATATTTGTTCTCCTCCCTCTCTCTCCCCACCCCCTATCTTGCTCTTCCCACCCCCATATCTGACTCTAGGCCTCCCCTGGCCTCAGCTTCCCTGTCTTCCACAGAGGACTGAGGAGCCCATGGGGCAGGGTGTGGGGTGATGAAGAGGAGAGGTGATGAGCCAGAGTGTCCCAAGGACAAGCTTCTGGAGAGAGATGAGGCAGAACATGAACATCAGTGGTTTATTGGGAAGCCCCCATTGCAAACACCAGCAGCCCTAGCCCACTAGGGGAAAACCCCACTATTCCCCAGCCCATGTGTGTTTAAGCAGAAATAAATAAGGCAGCACTTAATGAACCAGTCTGTCTCCCTCTTAAGGAGCTCTGGGGAGGGTCAGCCTCTGCCATCCTAGGGGCTGGGATCCCTCTAGCTCTTGAGGAGGGGCTGGGGACAGCGGGGGTTGAAGAATGCAGACCACCCCTTTCTGGCCTGCCCATGGGGCAGCCTGTGAACTTGGTGCTGAGTTCAAAATTGCTGAGGTCTGACCTCGTGGCAGAAGCCTGCCCTGTCCCAGAGAGACCCCCTTCCCATCAGGCCCCAGCCCCTGGCCCCTGCCTCAGAGTCCTGTCACAAGCTCCTGTTCCCATTTCTAACTGCAGCCTGGGGAGCCAGTACCTCCTCCCTAGCCCAGAGGACCCAGCTGTGGGGAAAGGAAGCTTTGCCGTCATGCTTTTTATTCCCCTGCCATTCAGGGGCTGAGGGACTGGTCCCCGTCTGACGCTGGTCAGTGGGCAGTCAGCTCTATGGTCTTCTTCCGCTCCTCCCAGTCCTCCTCGGGCTCGTACGTGCCCTTGACGACGGCCACACGCTCACTCAGACTCAGGCAGTTGGGGAAGAGCAGGTAGAAGTAGAGGATGGCAGCCACGGCAGCCCCCACAATGGGCCCCACCCAGAATACCTGGTGGAGACAGGACAGCATCAGGGGGCTGAGCTCCTCCAGAGGACTGACTCACGGACCCCCAGAGGAGATGGACATACGACTTCCGGATCTCCAGAAGGAAAGACTTCCTCCCACCTCAGGGACAGATATACTGACACCCCACTCCCCAGTGACAGGGACATGGACCACAGATACCCAGATTCTTAAAGGAGACAGATCCCCAGGGGGCCAGGGCCCCTCCCACTCCACCCTCAAGAGAGACAAAGGGGCCTTCAGAGCGAACGGACATACAGGTCCTCAGAGAGACGGACAGAACTCCTCTCCCTCCCGTGAGGGGATAGAGACGAACTCTGGAGGGAGACCATGAACTCCCAAAGGAAGTTTCAGACGGACCCACAGGAGGGAAGACTATCCCACCCTTCAACGGGGGGCGGGTAAATAAAACATTAGACATACAGACTCACAGGGACAGAAAAAGTCCTCAGAGGAGATCAGGCTAGAGGTAGAGACACCTCCTTTACTTAGAGGGACAGACACAATGCTGCCCCCCAGCCCCCAACCAGGGACTCCTTGTCCCCAGGGGCTCAGGCCAGTGTTCTGGCTGCATCCTGTTCCCTACTGTGTCCCCTTCTCTCTCCAGCCACTGCTCTCCAGACCCACCCTCAAGCTCTGGGCCCACAACACCCAGGAAGCCCAGGGAGCCAAGGCTGAGTGTCCAGGTCCTCGTTGCCAGGGGTCCGAGGGAGGCCCAGACTCACCCAGTGCGCAGAGCTGAACCGCTTCATGACCACCGCGGGGCCGAAGGAGCGGGCTGGGTTCATGGAGCAGCCGGTGAAGTAGATCTGGACGGAGAGAGGGAGGCGGTGAGAAAGGCAAAGTGCACATCCCTTCCCACAGGACCCCTAACTCTCCCAGGGTCGCCCACCAGTTCAGGGGCTCAGTTGGAACTCCAACTCAAGGCCCCAGTTCCTAGGCTGGTGACCTCTCCCTCTGCGGGTCCCTGTGCACTGCTCCTCTCTTCTCTGAGCTTGGGCTTGGTTTCCTGCCCCCGCCCCAACTCCCACTTATTCCCATCTTTCTCCAGGCTACAGAAGGTTTGGGGGGCTCTCAAGTCCAGGACAGAGTACAGCGGCCCCACTCCAGGCCCAAACTGGTCCGGAGAGGTGCTGCAGGCCCCTATTGTTTGCCCTGAGGAGCTCTCCACAGCCCCAGCCACGTGGCAGCTCTGCTCACCCCCACAAGGTGGCCCAGAGTGACGGACAGGCCAATGGACAGGGCCGGGGAGCCCACAGGGCTGGTGCGGCGGGCATCGGTAGAGGAGAAGATGCAGAGCGCCAGCTGGAAGGTCAGAATCATCTCCACCACCACGGCCTGGCCTGGTGTCGTGTTGTTGCTGAGCTGCAAGGGGACAGTGGTTTAGGACCCCAGCCTCCTTCTGGCTCTGTGGCCAGGGGCTTGGGGAGGTGGGTTTAGGGCCTCCGAGGACACCTGCAGCCCAGTGCAGGTCAGGTCAGGGAAGTCATCTGCTGAAGAGACTACGCACGTCACAGTGTGTGCAAAGCTTGGGGCGCAGGCCTGTGGCCAAAGGGTGGTGTGAGGGTAGCTTTTCCTGGACATGGTCCTGTCAACAGTTCTGCCCAGTCTCCACCCCCCACAAGCTGGCATTTACCCTCCCTCCTGCGGGCAGCTGCCCAGTTTGTCTACTGCACCCCCAGCCCACCTCCCGCCCGTGCCTGACCTGCTGCCAGTGCCAACCTCAAACTTGTCTCTCCAGTGCAGCTGACTCACGGCTTGACAATGGCCGAGAAAATCCTCCTCTGTGTTTGATTAATGAACCCAGTTTGCATGGGACATGGGGAACGAATCTGGAGCTGGGGAAGGGGGAGGAGGCAGCAGGAGGCCAGGAGCAGGAACAAAATTAGGGGCTCGCATGCATGGTCTCTAAATGGGGTCCCTTGATACCTGCTGTGGTGGGTGATGGCCACCCCCATGTCATAGCTGAGAAAACTGAGTCCCACAGAGGCCAGGGTCAGCAGGAGCTAAGATTACAACCTATTTCTCTCTAATGGTTGCAGGGCCTTCCACTGAGGGACAGACAGGAGCCAGGAGGGGCCCAAGAGGAAGGCAGAACTCAGCAGTGAGACAAGAGAAAAGGCAAAAGTTTCCAGCAAGAAAGGAGGGGCAGTAGGCACCGGGAGAGAGGCCAGAAAGGGGCAGCAGGAAGGGAGCAGGCAGAGGAGGTGGGCATGAACCAGGGAGGCTGAGCAGGGACACGGGGCAGCCAGGGCATTCATCTTATTGGCCTTGGGAGGCTGTCACCTTCCCTCCAAGGGTGTGCACTGACCCACACTCAGTGGCACCTATTCTTGAAATGGAGTGTGAGGGCCTGGTCCTGAGCCCACCCCAGGGTCTCTGTCGCACCCCCATCCCCGCCGGCACTCACCGAGTTCACCGCCAGACTGCCCCGGGCACCTTTCGGTGCCAGCCCATAGAGGATGCCTGCCCCAGCAATGGCGCCCACCAGCTGGGCCACCACGTAGAAGACAGCCCGGAGCAGGGAGATCTGGTTGCCCACTAAGAGCGCCAGTGTGATGGCAGGGTTGATGTGGCCGCCGCTCACGGGCCCCAGGGCCTGGGCCAGGGTGCCTATGGCCAGGCCAAAGGCCAGCGAGATCTGAAGGACGGTGGGCAGTGCTGACGGCCACTGGAGGGCTGAGCCGAGGCCGAAGAAGACGAAGATGAGGGTGGCCAGGAACTCGGTGAACACGGCCTTGACGAAGGCCACGGAGCACACCTCCTTCTTCATGGCGGCGGTGGGGGTCGAGCGGCGGCGGGGGGCGCCCGTCGGGGCGGCGGCGGCGGCGGCGGCGCTGCTGCGGGCGGGGGGCTGGCTCCCTGGGGCGGCGCGCTCGGCGGGGACCTCAGGGCGGCTAGCGGCCTGGCACGGGCCCCGCAGGGGTGCGCTATATAGAGGGCGGGCGCCCCTAAGCGGGGCCAGCGCGGGGGGGCAGTGGGCGGCTCCCGCGCTCTGGAGCCAGCACTTCGCGCAAGAAGGGAACTTTGCGGCCGTCCGAGGCTCCACACTGCCCCGGGCCCCCCGAGTCCTCCCGCAGGGGCAGCGTGCGACCTGTCCGGGCCACACGACCCAGGCGGCGGCGCACACCGGCCCCGCGGCTGGGGACGTGTGCATGCTGCGCTCCAGGCGGCTCCCGCGCTCTACGCCGCGCGGTTCGTCCCAGGCTCCCAGGGAGACTTTGCCTGGGCCCGGCCCGGCCGGGGTCTCCCGTCCCACCGACCTCTGCCTGGCTCCCTCCGCCGGGCTTTTATCTCCGGCCGTGGTCTTCGCCTTTTCTCCTCTCCGGGCCCTGGGTCCAGCCCCTCCTTTTCCTCCTGTGACCCAGGCATCCGTATCCAGCCTCACCTCCGGCGGGTTTGGAGTGATGCGATCCCCGAGGACAGCGCCACTCAGCTCCCTGCCGCCCAGCCGCGGCGGGGGCGGGCGGGCGCCCGGGCTGGGCGGTCCGGCCGGCTGTTGCGGACCTCTCCCCGCCCGGGCCAGGCGAGCCCCTGGGGTTGGAGTGGGGGCGTTGGGAAAAGCGGACGCCGTGTCAGCCTGCCCTGCGCCTGGTTGTCCTGGACCCGCAGCAGCGGCCGGACAGTCCTGGGGACCTCAGCGCGTCCCCAGAGGGGGTGGGGGCCGGGAGTTCACTTTGTACTCGGGGCCGGAGAGGGCATGGCCAGGTTCGGTTTTGTTTCAGGTCAGGGAAGAGGCTCTGGGACTGAGGGGTCCGAGCGGGGTACGGGGAGGGGGCAGGGCGCTGCTGACCGCCCAACGCCGGGTCTTGGCCTCTCCCACCTCCCTTTCCGAGGCCCCTGCTCTAGACCTCAGGCTCTCCCTTTCACGCGCCTCTGCTCTCACCCCTTCTCTCGGTCTCTCCAGACTCGGTCCTCCAGACTCGCGGCCTGCCTTTCCCTCCCTCTCGCCGTGCCTCTGCCTCTCCTCTGGCTTCTTCCCCTTCAGTCTGTTTCTCCAGGCCCCGTCTCTCTCCTTCGGGTTTCTCCTCTTCTCTCCCACCCCTCACCCCCTACCCCCCACACCCCCATCTCCATCTTTCTCTTTCTCCTTCCTTCAGGCTCTCCCTCTCCCTCTCCATTTCTGTTTTTCCCTTCCCTTTACAGTCCTAGCCTTAGTCTCTCCCTCCCCGCCTCTCTATCCTATTTATCTTTCCTCTGCCTCTTAATTTCTGTGACTTCTTTGTTTGTTTGTTTCCGACCGTCTCTACCTCAGTTCCATGTCTGTTTCTCTCACACGTGGTCCTTTTCAGGGCCTCCCAAGTCAGATCCCCCCACCCCTGGGCTGTGGTCCGGCGCTTTCTTCCAGCTCCCTGCCAACCTCCTCCTGCCCTTGCCCCTTTTCTCTGAGTTCCCAGCTGCTCTCCACCATTTCCCCCACCCCTCTCGCTTCTTATTTCCAGATTAAGCATGTGGGGAATGAGGCTGGAGGACCCTCCAGGGCTTGGAGGAGGGGCGGGGAATGACCCTCAGGATCTCAGGAGAGGAGCTGCACTGAAGATCCCCCTGCCCCCACCCCACCACTGTGTGTCCTCGGGAGGCACTTAGCACAGAGTAAGGCTAAGGAAAGTTTGCTCACGTTGTAACCATAATTTAAAAACCCCCTGAAGGCCCTGTGTGGAGCTAAGGCAGAGGCTGCGGCAGGGGGAACAGGTGCTCCTCCCTCAGTCTGTCAGGGGGTGAGGGGAGGGGCCGCGGAGGACAGCCAAGGACCGAGAGGAGTGGGCTGTGGGCTCCATGGCAGCTAAGAGGCCAAAGAAAACAGGGACCAAAGAAACCCTGGCATTGTTCTTCCTCCGTTCAGTGTTTCCTGTGGAGCAGCTCCTCCCCCACGTCCCTCCCCAAGGTCTCTCCTCTTGAGGCAGGAGGTCTGCCTGGCCTTTCTGCCCTGGGTCCTGGGGCCCTGCTCCTGGCAGAGCATGGCGTGGACTTGCCCCCTTCCACCTGCCTTCTCCTCTCCCAGGGCACTGTCTTTGCGAACCCACAGGTCTCCAGCCCCATCGTCTTGGAGCGGGGAGGACTCTGCAGTGCTCATGGGAGGTCGGGCCTCCAGGGAAGCTGCTACTTGGGGATTTGGATCCAACCCTTTACGCCTAACTCAGGTCTTTGGCCTCCATGGTGTGATTCCATTCTGAGCTACCTGTGAGGAACCCAGACTCAGAGGTCCGCGGTCACACAGTGACCTGGACAGGGAGACATGAAGTCACCAAGAACAGGCCTGGTGTGGCTGAAGGAGACCCAGTGTGTCAGGATCGCTCAGATGGGGCAGTTGGTTCCACTTCCTGGGCCTGTGCTTGAAATCCCTTCGTCTCTTCCAGCTCCCTCCCAGTGCTGCTCTGTCCCCAGGTTGCCACAAGGAGCTACAAGAGCTCCTATGTCCTGGAGCTGCCTTTTCTCTGAGCTCTTGGGCCCGGCCCTGCCAGCTCCAGGGCAATGCTTCCCTGGGACCTTTCTGGGCTGGGAGATGGGTCTCCCCATTGGTAGCAGGAAGTCAGAATCTCTCAGGGGGGGGGGCTCCTTCCCTCCTTTTCTGATACAGGACCTCTGTATTCCCTGGGAGGGCGGGGGTAGAAGTGGTAGGGTAATTGGCAGGAGATGGTGCTCCCAGGGGTTCCAAAAATCCCCACTATCGGGAAATAGTCATTCATTCATTCCACAAAGAGTTATTGAGCACTTATTATGCACCAGGCACTGTTCCAGGCACTGGGATATAGCTATGAGCTAACAGAAAACATCTTTGCTTGTGGAGCTAATATTCTAGTAAAAGGAGACAGATGACAAATAGCAGACATAGGTAGATTATATAGGACAATAGAATCTGGTAAGTGCTATGGGAAAATAGGAAATGTGCGGGGATAGGATGGAGTTCCTTTGAAATTTTAAAAGGGTGTCAGTATAGATCTTACTGAGAAGGTGACACCTGAGTGAAGACCTGAAAGAGGAGAGGGAGAGAACCATGCATACATCTGAAGAAAGAACATTCCAGGCGGAGGAGCTGCCGGTGTTGCTGGAGTGGAGGGGGCAAGGAGATGAGGACAGAGGCGGTGGAGGCGGGCAGCCCTGTGCACCCCCAAAAGGCGCGGCAGGCTTCACTTGAGAGATCGAGGAAGACACTGGGCCAAGGACTGGTGTTGTCTGACAAGGTTTTTAACACGGCCCCTCCGCTGCTGCAGTGAGAAGAGACTGGAGGGGTGGGAATGGAAGCGGGGAGGCCGATAGGGCCCTATGCAGGGAGAAATAGAGGATGGTGGCCTGGACCTGAGGGGAGGGTGATGGATTCTGGCCCCCCCGCGAAGGTGGGACCAACAGGATTCTCTGATGGAGTTCACAGGGCATATGAGAACAAGGAATCAAGGACAATGAGCTTTATGGCCTGAGCAGCTGGAGAAAAGGAGTTGCTATCAGTTGAGACGAAGGGACTGTGGGAAGGGCAGGTGTGGAGAGAAGAGCAGGCTGTCGGGTGTGGACACGTGGAGCGTTAGGCATTGTCCCAGATCCTGAAGGCTCCTGCCCTGACTTCCCAGCACAGTGCTGCAGCCAGCACGAGGGGCCCAAAGGGGGCTATGCTTTGCTCTGTCTGCAGACCGCACAGGCTACCCACATCTTGGTGCCCTCTCCATGGGTCACAAAGCCCAGGGTGCCCATCTGGCCAGACTGGCAGTGGGAATTTGCCACCCATTAGTTGAGCATTGAAATCCCCTCTGCACCATTCCTAACAGCAGCTGTGGGGAGCTCAGGACATGCCAGTCTGTCTTCTGGCACTTTGGACTGTGCTGATCATTTCTAAATTGTGGAAGAAACAGCCCTTAATTGGTAAATGATCATTTATTGAGCTTACTATGTGCAGAGCACTGTGGTGGATAAGACAGATGAGGAAGACAGGCAGGAGACCGCCATCCCAGACCTGGAAGAAACCCTGCCCACAAAGGGCTCACAGTCTAGCCGGAGGGCACTGCAGATGTACAGAATCACAGCTTAAAAGACACAAAACACCATCAAAGCAACATCTGTAGTTGCAAAGTCTTTATCTGGCACAAAGTGGGACTGTGGGAATGGGTGCTGCTGGGGCCCGGTGGTCAGCTCCCTTGTCCTCTCAGCTCAGAGCCTTCTCTGTCCCCAGCTTGGGCTCCTGTCCACCTGCCTCTGTGCTGCCCAGCCTCTGTCTGGTTTGGGGTGTATCTGGCTTCCACCCTCCTCCAGGCTGGGTGCTCTCCAAGAGCAGAAACCATCCCCACGTTCTTGTCATTTTCTTCCTGCCCTGCCACAGCCATCCCTGAGGCCCCGTGTCCTCCACAAGTCAGGGGCCGGGCTGAGCAGGCTCAGCTGCGGGCTGTGGTTGTTAACTTTAAAGTCGTTATGTGGCACGTGACTGTATTGGCTCCGCCTGCCTCACAGGGTTGGGATAAGGGGGCCATTGTCCTTCCCTGCCTGAGCTTTTAGGAGGGTTAAGTGAGCTGATGCATGTAAAGCACCTGGACAGAGGCTGGGACGCAAGAGATGCTCAATAGATGTCAGTTCTCTCCACCCCCATCGTTTGAATCCTGCTTTGACCTCTGACCTTAGGGACCCCAATCTGGGCAATCAGGGCTAAATGTGGGGATCTCATGCTTAGTTATGGGGGGAGATGAAATCCATAAAGTGGAACAGACACAGAAATTCTTGGCAACTTCTAAAGGGATCTGGTGGGGTGAGGTGAGGTGCGGTAGGGTTGAGGTGCCTCAGACACATCGGAGCTTGGCTCACAGCTCCATGCCCTGCTGTCTTTGAACTTCTACAGCAAGGACACTCAGCTACCAGGAGTACTGTCTTGGAGGTTACTTCAGTCTCTAACTTGACCTGTCCCCCAGTAGTGAGGCCAGGTGGCTGCCACCAGATTTCCGGGGGTTTGGGAGAACCATCTCCACAGCACACACGACTCAGGGCAGCCTTTTTTCTGACCCCAAAGGGAGAAAAAAAAAAGACAAAGTCAGAGGTGGGCACAATAACAGAAATGTTCCTCATACTCAGTCCATCTCTGAAGGGAGAAGAGGGTAGGAAGGGGCTGGAGACTCCAGTGCACAGTGGGTGCTCGGTGCAGATAGAGAGAAAAGCTTTGAAATCACACAGGCAGCAGAGAGCGTGCAGACGGTCTCAAGGTGTGAGTCGTAGCTTAGCTATGCAGCAGGCTGCAGAGGGAGGAGAGAATGGATGGTCTGGGTGGTGGGAGAAAAGAAAGGAGAGGACGGCCAGGGTGCACTCAGGTAAGAGAGGTTAAGAGACTGGACCAGAAAGGGGCCAGACCCAAGCCCATGTCCTTCTGTCTGCACCTTGGGCTTCCCAGGGTTCTCCTTTGCTCTGACTACCACCTGAAGGAGGTAAAAGAGGCAGAGGGTAGACCCCTTCTTCATTCTAGCCCCAGGAAGCAGAAATAATGAAATGATTTCAACACTGAGTGATAATGGTATGAGGAATTACAGTTCACATAGCATCTTTACATGCACCATCTCACTTAATCCATTAATCTCATTTGACAACCAATGCACTGGCCTGGAAATTTAGAAGCCCAGGCTCTAGGCACAGACCTGCCTCTGCCTGGACAAGTCATTTCCCTTCTCTGGTCGTGAGAGTGCTGGGCTGCTCTCGCCACAGCAACTGTCCCGAGGTGGGGGCTGAGGAGGAGGGAGGGGGGAGAGGGGAGACTCCTGGGGTGGAAGAGCTGCTACCTGGGGAGAGGGGCCTGCGGTGGGATGGGTGACAGGGGTGGGGGTGGGGGGTGTTGCCTAGTGCTATGGTTGCGGTTGCGGTTGAGTGCATGCCGAAGTGCCTTGCCCAGCCAGCCATAGGTGTGTGCTGGGTGAGAGGGCTCACTTGCGAAACCGAGTGTCTCCTTTCAAGAAGTGTCTAGTTGCAAATCTCCCCCTCTCCCAAGACAAAAGCCACCGGCCCACAAAGAGCTTTTGTTTTTTCTGTCACACTGGAAGGCTAATCTCTAGGTCTGGAGCCCCCCACCTTCCTAGATGGGGGTCCCCTGCACACATGTTGGGCCTGCACTCGTGTGTGCACAAATGCAAACTCACTTCCTCTTTCGGAGAGGTCCTCTCTCATGGCAGAAAGGAGGCCCTTGGCCACCCAATTTTTCCTGTCTTCCAAAGGCCACTTCTGGAGGAGCCGGTCTGTAGTTGATAGCTCTCTACCTCCAGCCCTGGGTGCTGACAAGTCTGCCCGCCCAGTGCCACAGCATGGGGGAATTTTCCGGGAGGGGCAGAGTAGGGGGAGCAGGTCCTCGTGTCAGCCTGCCCAAAGTGGCCTCCAGACCCTGCCCTTCCAGGGCAAACACACACTCCAGAGGACGGTCACTGGCAAGGACTCGTCCACCACAGAGGAAGTGGATTTATTGCAGTGGGGAAGGGGTCAAAGGGAAAGTGAGAGGTCACTAGCCAGCGCATACTTGCACCACCACAGGCACACCTGTTCACACTCAGAAGCATGTACAACACTGCAGTTAGGGACAGAGAGGCATGTGGGAATGAACACACATTTGCACACTTGTAAAACCCGTTCCCAGACCCCCAAGGCGGGTCTGTATATTACGCCCCCCCCCACACCTCCACCCACTTCTGGGGACAGGCTCTCCAGAATCTTCCTCTGCCGCCCATCCACCCTCCTCCCCCAGCTCTGCCCCCAGGTCCCCAGGTCCCCAGCTCCCTGTGAGGAGCCAGAGGGTCGGCTACTCTCCAGCCTGCAGCCTCTGGACAAGGGTCTGCCAGGCTCACCGCAACCCTGGCGGGGCCTGCACATCCTGGAAGCAGCTACTCTGCACGGGCCACTTCTCACGCGGAGAGAGGAAGGGCGAGTGGGCCCCGCTGCCTCTGGTCGAGCCGGCAGGGGGGTGACGGGTGTCCCTGGAGCCGGGGCCGGAGCTCCCCTGGGCCCGAGGCCCGGCCGTCGGGGCTGGGCTGGGGGGCGCCTAGGCCTTGCTGCCCCGGGGGAGGCTCTGCGGCGAGTGCAGCTCCACCGACTGCCGCCGCCGCACCTCGCGCTCCTCCCAGTCGGTGTCGGGCTCCAGCCCCTTCAGCACGGCCAGGCGCTCCGACAGGCTCTTGGAGGACGGGAACAGCACGTAGTTGTAGAGCAGGGAGCCCAAGATGGCGCCGACCAGGGGTCCGATCCAGAAGACCTGCGGGGAGCGGGAGGGCGGTTGGCGGGCGCTCGGGGGAGGGGGACGGGAGGGGGGGCGCCGGGGGACCCGGGGGGGAGGGGTGCCGGCTCCCCGCGAGGGTCCGGCCCCGGGGCCCGCCCCACCTCATGTGGAACGGGGCCTCACACGCTTGTCAAGTGCCCGTCACGGAGCTCAGCTCGGAGGGACAACGCGGGCTGCCGCGGAAGACTCGCGAGCTGGGGCTTGAGTGCGTTTTCGAGCGGGCGGCCGGGGTGAACTGAGCGTCTAAGCTGCTCACACGTCTCCGCCTGTTTCCCTCCAGCACAGTAATGCCGACCGCCGACCGCCTGGCGTGGCTGTGAGAACTAAATGAGCTAGTATTTGCAAAGCACTTAGAATAAGGCCTGCACATACTAAGCACCAGGTAAGTGCTAAATAAAAATATGTGTTAGCTAGCATAAATATTACCGTTTATCGAGTTCTAAGGCACTGAAAGGTCTGTTTTACACCAGTAACCTCACGTAATCCTTCCCAAAAGCCTGTGATGCCAGAACTGCCATTGTCCTCGCTTACAAATGTGGAAACTGAGTCAGCATCAGGGACCCACGGAGAAGAGTGCGGAGGGTTGGAGAAGCCCCAGGCCCACTTTGTCCCAGGAAGCCCTGGCTGGGCTGGGTTTCTGGGGGAGGGGAGGACAAGCAGGGAGGTCTCGACCTTACCCAGTGATCATCAAATTTGCCGGTGACAACAGCGGGAGCCAGGGAGCGCGCAGGGTTCATGGAGCAGCCCGTGTAGTAGATCTGCAGCGGCAGTGGGGGTCGGGGTCAGAGGGAGGTGAGGACGCACAGGGAGGCCTTGCAAGCCTCACCAGTGCTTGACCTCAACCTAAAGGGAACCCACGCCGCTGACAGTGAAGTTCATGTGATATTTACAAGGCTCGGGATTCCTTTGAGGCTGGTGTGGAATCTGTCCCTTTGGGGTATGTGACAGTCAAACCCTCTGGAGTGAGTCTGTCCCTCGTAGGAGTCTGTATCTGTCTTTCTGGGGGTCTTCGTGCCTGTCACTTGGGGGGATTCTGTGCATCTGTCTCCAGGGTGGTCCATGGGTCTGTTTCTCTGGGGGAGTGTGTGTCCAGGGAGGCTGGAACCAGTGGCCATGACTTACCCCCAGGAGGTGGCCCAGGGCCACAGAGAGGCCGATGGATAGGGCAGGGCTGCCCAGGTTGTCTCCACGGCGCTCGTCTGTGGAGGCAAAGATGCAGAGCACCAGCTGCAGGGTCAGGAAGAGCTCCACGGTCACGGCCTGGCCGGCGGTCGCGTTGTTGTGAAGCTGAGGACAGAGAGGGGTGGTGGGGAAACAGTGAACGTGCTCCCAGCACGGCTTGACTTCGTGCCCACCTACAGCCAAGACCCCGGAGAGGCTCTGGGCCGGCTGGGAGCCAGAACGCCTGGGCTCAGCAGCCACCTTGGTCCAAATTACTGACAGTTTCCTCCTGGGCCGGTGGCCCAAAGGCAGAGGGATGGACTCCAAGACTCCCTGTGGTTCCCCAGCCAGAGGTGGGAAAACTGACTCCATGACTCATTAGATTTGGGGGCTGGGGTTGTGTACCTACAGTGTGAGCAAAAAAGGATGCTGAGTCCAGAATTTCTGTCTTCTGAACAGCAAGAAGGGAAGAGGTTTTGAATACAGCAGGAAGTTTTAGGCCAGGTAACAGGAAGGCCTTCCTCTCTCCCTAGGCCATAAGATACTGGCATAACAAAAAGCTTATTGTCTTCTTTCTTGTGGTCAAAGAGGTCCCAGGAATAGGGTCTAGGGACTTGGGTCTGGGATGCTCCTAGTGTGTCCCCTCCCCCCACAAGTCTAGCATATGACTCTTTCCTCTAACCTTGCTTCTTCCCCCCTGTGTTTCAGGCCTCAGTTTTGCCCTGTGGATTTGCTCCCTGCATATCCCATAGAGGTTGAGGTGGGGTTGCTGCGGTGCTGGAGCCCTACACTGCGATGCCTCCATACCCATGTGGGGTGCCCAAGGTCCCAGCAGACTCTGCTTTGGGTAACAAGAGAACTTGGGGCTAAGCAAAGAGGTAATTTCATAACTGGGCCACACCCAGCACTGGGTTTCTCTCTGGGTTTTGTCATCCTGTGCCCTACACCTTGCCCTCTGGGGCTGGGCACTGAACTGGGTGGAGCTGTGACAGCTCTCACCTCCCACGCTCCTTCTTTAGGCCCCGAACCCCCACCCCTGGGTCCTAGCCATGGAGCTGTCACTCTTGGGTCTCCCTAGGGTCTAACCTCAATCCCCTGTGATCCAAAGTCAGAGCCTCTAGTGGGGGACTGTGGAAAGAGCTTTGGAGGCAGCTACTTCGGAGGCCTCTGACTGACCGTGGGCCCCCATTTACTTCAGCCTCAGTTTGTCCTCCTGTAAAATGGGGTAACAAAACTCTGGAGGACTGTGTGGGGCCTGGAGATGACAAAGGCAGAGCCCTGGCCCCATTCCTGCTGGTGAATGGCGGAGACAGTGTGGTCGTGGGTTCAGTGTCGGCCAGTTCTGGGTTTGTCTCCAGGTGCTGACACTTACTGGCTCTGTGGCTTGAATCAGTTGAATGCTGAGCCTAAATTTACCGCTCATGGTGGAGGGCCGCAGAGCTCACCATATGGCATTTTACTATGGGTGAGGTGATATCCAGCACAGAGCAGGTGCACATCAACGGTGACTCTCCGGCCGCCAGGCTGGCCTTTCTAGGGACCTCAGAGGACACCTGAGACAACCTTAAAGTCACCGGGCACCCTCAAGCCTCAGGGTAGTTCAGCCCCTCTGCTGCCCCTTTCTAGCCAGGCAGAGCTCTCCTCAGTTACTCAGTATAGGAAATGATGAGCAATAACTTGAGGGAACCTTCTGTGCTGAGGGCTCCAGGCAACTGTGAAATGATGGCGGAACAGGACTGAGTGTGCCCATGTCCCCCTAGCAATCCCATGGCCCTGCTCGTAGAGGACATTCCCCAGTCACATTCCAAGACTTTCTTGACTGTGCAGTCAGGAAGTTCCTCTTTCAGTCTAACTCAGCCTCTCCTTGCTGCCAACTGAACTAATTTTGTTCTCAATGGAAATGGTCACACTCCTCAGTCTGTCCCCTGTCATGGTCACTCTAGCCTTTTCTCAGCCCCAAGTCCCGAGCCTCATCACATTTTCCATTTGGAAGAAGAGAGAAGTTCCCCAGTTGGGACACCTCTGCCGCTCAGGTGAGAAAGGGCTACCCATGCAGAGGAGGGGTGGCCGTGGAGACTGCAGGACTCTTCAGAGACCTCAGAGCGCTTATCTCGTGGCCCAGGAACAGAGCTGGCCAAGAAACGCAGGAAACTGCGGCATGGAAGAGGCACCGGCTGTCTGGGCTCGGGCCGGGGGCTGGAGCGAGAGCTCTGCTGAGGGCACGCAGACCGCCCCTCCTCACCCACGCCGCCCATGCCCAGGCCTTGCACAGACCCGAGACAGGGGAGGGTGGGGGCATGTAGCGGCGAGGGGGTGCACTGTATCACCCTTGGCTCCCACAGCACCCAAGGTTCCGCATTAGCTGCTGTTCATGAGATGAGTGGTTCGCCCGTGGGCTCCGGTGTCTGGAGGGACAGTGCCCCTTCAGCTTCCCCAGGGGCCTGGTGCTCTCTCTGGTGTGGACGCACTGTAGAACTTTTGGCCTGCGCTTCCCTTCTCTGGGCCTCACCTTCCTTGTTTACAGAAGCAGCTTAGATGGCTCAGGTTGGAAATCCTGGGCTTTACATTGGAGCCTGGCTTTGAAGCCTGGCTCTGGCACTCCCCCTCTCTGAGCCTCAATTTCCATATTCTTAAGAAAGGGTATCCCCATCCCTGCCTCGCAGGGTGCAGGGTGGCTGCGAGGTGGTGTCAGTGTGAGGCTCGTGAGGAACCCTACCGTGAGGCCTGCACACGGTGGATGCTGAAGAAAAGTTGGGTCCTTCTTCCCTCTAGAAGACCCTCGGGACTCACACTCTGAGCTTCCCTCCGGCGCGGAAAGCAGGTGTACTTTGCGACCCTGTTGTCTGCCGACTTCTATCTAGCCCAGTCCTCACTGAAATGCAGGCATTAAGTCCCACAAAAACCGTGATGCCGGTGGTCCCCCACAAGACTCAGGGCGGGAGGTTCCAGCAGACCCTGGTGTCTGCTTCAGCCCTGGTACTGCTGTTCCTTCCGCCCTGCGTCTCCTTCCGCAGCCCCATTCCTAGTCCCGGCACCTCTTCCCCTCCAGCCCCCCCCCCTCCCCCCGCCTCCGCCCCCAGATGCAGGCCCTCACCCAAATCTGTTCCCTCCCATCTCATCCTTTACAAGGGAGTCCCCAGGATCTGCCCCGTGGAAGAGACGAAGCTCTGGCTACTCACTGCGTTGATAGCCAGGTCCCCTCGGATGTCTACCGGTGTGATTTCATGGAGCAAAGCAGCTCCTGCCACGGCCCCCAGCAGCTGGGCAGCCACATAGAAGGCAGCTCGGAGAAAGGAGACGTGGCAGCCCACCAGGCAGGCCACAGTCACAGCGGGGTTGATGTGGGCCCCGCTGACGTGACCCAGAGCCTGCACCAAGGTGCCGATAGCCAAGCCGAAGGCCAAGGCGATCTGCAGCACAGAGGGCAGGGCCTGCGGCCAGTTGAGGGCTGAGCCCAGGCCAAAGAAGACAAAGAGGAGTGTCGCCAGGAACTCTGCAAACACGGCCCTGGAGAAGGCTATGGACCGGAGCTCCCACATGCTGCGGAGCCTTTCCTGGGCTGGCCCAGCTGTCTCACGGGCAGGAGGCTTGCGGCCCTCTCCCTATCTCCCTCTGTCTCTCTCTCTGGGACTCTGGGGAGTCTGGGCCACGGGCATTTACAGGGCCCTTCCATCCTGCATTTGGACACGTGGGGCAGAGGTGGAGTTTAGACCAGCACCTCCTGTCCCCTGTGGCTTCCCCCTGCCCCCACTCCCCACCCCTGCCCACCACATGCCTATCACCCCATCTTGGCCTTCACAGCTGACTAATGTTCCCCATTAATAAGCTCCAGATAAGGACTGACGTCCCCTGGTTTTCCGTGTTTGTTCCCTCGGTTACCCCGGGGTTGTTGCCCCAGGGCCTCCCCAGCCCCCACAGGCTCTGTGAGTGGGGATTCTGTAGGAGGCTGTGCCAAAGCCCCTCTCTCTGCCTCAGACTGTTGGCCAAGGCAGGGACAACGCTTCATCCAAAACTGACCAGGAGAGAGGATGTCAGCGCTACCTCCTCTAGTGACGGAGAAGTTTTCCTTGCCGTCTGACCTGCAATTATTTCTTCTTGATGGGGATGGAAAACAACTGGTTGGCTTGTGATGTGAACCTTCCAAGGCCTAAAGCCTCCGAGTCTCTTCTGTGCTTGCTTTCTTGCAGTCGATCACCCATAAGTTGTTAAGCTTCACCTCCTCCCTAGAACCCCAGCCCAATGGCAGCTGCCCTGGCCTGGAGGCGAGGGCGGTTCCCCTGGCACTGAGACCCTGGCCCTGCCCCATGGGGCCAACCTGGGGTCGAGGCCTGTGAGCTTCCGTTCCAGTATCACCCTCAGTAATCATTGTGAGCCCCTTCCTGTCCGTCTCTGCAGAGAGGTGATAATAAAGCTACCTTATCCGATTGGGGTTTGGATTAAATAAAATAATGTGCACAAGGTTCTCAAAGCAGTGCCTGGCCCACTGTAAGTCAACGATTAATATCAGCTATTATTAATAGTCTTATTTATACTGAGGAGACGGCATCTCCCCACACTCACACGTTAGGGTTCCAGAAGCTGTGACAGACCCCGGCACCACCTGGAGGCCTGGGAGCTCTGGGCCTGACACCCTGCTCTCCCTCCATCCCCCAGCCTTGCCCCCTTTCTCTGGGAAGCAAAGGCAGGGTCATGCTCAGAATGGAGTCGGGGCACTAGCTTCTGAGCTGCATGTCCCCAGGCAAGTTACGGTCCCAGGAATGGGAATCTGGGCAGGATGGATGGCAGACTGTAGGGCAGAGCCCTTTCTGTTGTCTCATAGGGGGACATCAAGGCGGGGGTGGGGTGGGTGAATGACTCATCTGAGGTGGTCCAGCAGGTTAGTGGCAGAGCTGGGACTGGAACTGGATCTGGAGAGAGAGCAGTCTACCACGCCCTACACTGCCAAGTCGCATACCTAGCCTCAGTTTCTTTGTTTGGAAAATGGGAGTAATGATGCCCACCCCACAAAGTTGTTTTGAGGATGGAGCAAGATAATGGATGGGAAATATTTTGCAATTGAGAATGCATCATCCAAGTATATACTGGGACTAGTGAATCCTGTTTGTGAGGAGGCGGGGAAGGAGAAGGAGGAGGGTAAGGAAGAAAATGACCCAAACGCAATGGAAGCTCAGAAAAATCAGGAATTCTTCTGGGGCTTGTTCTCTGATGTATTTCCACTGCTTAGAACAGTGCCAGGCACACAGGTAGACGCTCAACTGTATCCTGAATGCAGACGCCTCAGACGCCCCTTGCTGGGCCCAAGCCTGGGAGGAGGGGAGGGTGCCAGTCACCACCTGGTCCTTACCCTTTGCCTTTGAGCCAAGGGAGAAAGAAGGTGGTCCTGTCGAAACCACAGGGTTCAAGCCCTTCTTCTGCCTGGAGTAGTGGAGTTCCCAAGGGGAGGGCTATGTGTTTTACTTTATTTTTGTTTACTTTGTTGATTTGAGAGGGAGAGAGAAATATTCATCTGTTGCTCCACTTATTTGTGCACTTACTGGCTGTTTCTTGTACGTGCCCTGACTGGAGACCGAACCCATGACCTTGGCGTATCGGGATGATGCTCTAACACATTTTGTCTCCAGTGACCACTAAGTGGTGTCTTGATGAGGTCCATGGTGCCATCCACTGCATGATGCTGCTAATGAGAGTATGACCAAAGTGCTTCCTTGGAGGTGGATGAAGTGAAGGTTGCACGACAGCATGACTGTACTTAATACCATTGAATTGTGAGCTTAAAATGGTTAGGATGGCGCTTTATAACAAATAAAAATAATTTTTAAAAAGCGAGTAAAGAAAAATGACCTGAAAATGTTTTTTTAACCAATGTGTATTTGTACTTATTGAAAGAAGTCTTTTTGATTTATTTAGATATTAGTTTTTTAAGTCAAAATCTCTCTTGTGCATGCATAAAAAAGGAAATTATAGGAAAAGAGATTGGCTAATGTACAGTTGACCCCGAAGAACAGGGGTTTGAACTGCAGGGGTCCACTTATATGTGGTTTTTTTCAATGATTGCTGTAAATGTATTTTCTCTTTTTTATGATTTTCTTAATAACATTTTCTTTATTTTATCGTAAGAATACAGTATGTAATACATACAACATACAGACTATGTGTTAATGGACTGTTTATGCTATTGGTAAGGCTTCCGGCCAGTATTAGGCCATTTGCAGTTAAGTTTTGGGGGAGTGAAAGGTTACATGTGGGTTTTCAACGGCACAGGGGGCTGGCACCCCTCATCCTTGTGTGGCTCAAGGGTCAACTGTAGCCCTAAAATTTCTTCACGCTCATAGGCCAACTGCCCCAAGTCCCGTTTTGACTCGGTCCCCAGGGTTTCCCACACAGTGCCACCCTCGGGGCAGGCGGGAGCACAGTTATGCACCGTTTCTTACAGGGTTCTCCGCTGTCGTCTCCAGAATTTTTGGCCAGTCAGAATTAGAACCCCAGGAGGCTGGCTGCAAGAGGACTCTGGATTGTGAAAATGAGTCCCTATATTACCTCCTGAAATAATCAAGATGGGAAAGGAATGAGAAAGAATACTAAAAGACTCTGAATAATAACACAAAAAATAAGGATTTGGGTGATGTTTGCTGGGGGCTGGGAGGGGGGCTGAGCCCTGGAAGAGCAGAGGCAGGAAGAGAGCTGGGCCGGGGGGCGGGGGGAGGCTGCAAGAGGGGGCACAGTGGGGGAACTCGGGACTGTGCTGTATGGCAGCTGCGGCGAAGTGTGTTTCCTCCTCTGAGCTGAGCTGCAGATGCCCTCCATTCTCCCTGCAAGGTCGCTAAAAGTGGGTCACACACCACAGCCTGGAGGCGGGAACCCTGGGGAATGAGGGAGAAGGGACAGGGCAGATCCATAGTCACTCGGTGAACCGAGTGAAAGGAGCAGACTCAGGCAGCAGCTGGTGGGAAGGGTGGGGGGCCTGGGGCTCAGGCCCCTCGGGAAGCCTGGGAAGTATCTCAGGGTGTCGGAACCATACAGCCCTGGGGGACTTTGGGAGAGGAGAGGTCTTACCCCATTCTATACAGGAGGACACTGAGGCACAGAGAGGTTACGAAGGTCTCCCAAGACCACAGAACTGGTGAGTAGCAGAGACAAGCTATGAATACAAGTCTGCCTGACCCAGAAATCTCACCCCCGCCACCCCCCCCGCCCCCGTGGCTGGCTGACTTCGTCCTCTAAACCCCAGCTCAAAGGACAGGCCAATTGGACAGTCGAGGCCCAGGTGGAGGCAGAGAAGGTTGAAGTCCAGGCTCTGGCAGGCAGAGACAGCTTCCGGCAGTCTCCCTCGTACGCCTGCCGTGGGGCCCAGGGGCGAAGAAGACGGGAGCGCACCTACCCTCCCGCAGCTCCCCTCTGCCCACAGGATGGGGTGGGCCTTGGGCTCGGGGTGTCCTCCTCCCACCCGCTTCCTCTTTGGGCTGAAATAGGTGCTGTTCCCTCCACTTGGTGGGTGTGTCACGGCCATTTTCTCATGACTAATTCTGCCTCAAACTCCAGGCCAGTGACTTTCAAACCTTTTTGATCAAGACCTGCAGGATGAAATATGTTCAATATCCTAATCCATAACATTATCTGGTTAGAAAGATAGATAGAGATAGAACTAAAACAAACATTTCTCAAATCAGTATTTCCTAAGTGTGATGTTTTAAATTCCTCTATTCTGTTTCACTAAACATGTCATTCCGGTCACAACTACTAAATTGGTTTCATGACTCATTAATGGGTCACTACTCACAGTTTGAAAAAGATCACTTTCCATCCTGGCTTAAAAATTGCTCTCTCATTGGAGAGGGTTTCCTGTTGCCTCAATGTCACTCCCTCCCAGGAACATCGACAATGGCGGGCCTTGCCTTTCGTATCACTCAGAGGCTGGTAATTGTCTCTTCAGAGTCTTGTTCCTCCTCTGGACTGTGAATGGAGGGCAGGGACCATATCTGGGTTTGCTCACCATCGCACACCCCGCGCCCCGTGCCCAGCACAGGGCCTGGCACGTTATAGGTGCTCAACAAGTGTTTCCAAGTGAATAAATGAGCAAAGCCAACAGCCTGGTCCCCCCAAGCCTACTACACCCTGCCCTGCGACCTCCAGGTTGCAGCCACATGACATCATTCCTCAGGGACCTGATTCGGAAGAGAAGTCGATCTCAGAGCTTGGGCAGAGAGAGGGAGTGTGCATTTGTGCATTGGAGGGTGAGGAGGGGTCAAGAACAAGTTTGTCTTCATTTGAAAAGGATTAGGCGTGAGAATCGGGGTGGGGGCAGGGACACCTTTCTCATAACCCTGCTTTGTGAATAGTGAGTTCCCCGTTGCTTGGAAGAGTTCCAAAAAGGCTGCACAGGCACCAGGGGAGCTGGGGAGGAAGTTTGGGCCCAAGACAGAGGGTCTGACAAACTGACTGATGGGGTCCCCAGTAATTCTGCTGCATGGACAAACCCAGGCTGCAGATTAACAAAGCCTCTTTACAGGAGGGCAACTGGGAGTCACTGTGGAATCTAGAAGAAAGGGAGACCAGACGCAAGAGGCTGTACTGCTCTTCCCAGGCCCCAGCTTCCTCCCACATCCCAGCCAGAGGAGGCTGACCAGGCTGGAGGCCCTGAGGAGCTGAGGGTGACTTGGTGGCCCCGTGGCTCCCTGGACTTCCACCTACCCTGGAAGCCCAGCTAGAGGGCAGAGAGGAAAGTATCTGCCA